TTTTTTTTTTTTTTTTTTTTTTTTTTTTTTTTTTTTTTTTTTTTACCCAACACACCTCCTGCCCCTTCTATTGGTGGGGGCGACAGTCCGGTTGTTTAGTACAGGCAAGTACGAACTAATATTGCCGATGAGAAGAAAAAGGGAGTGGCTCTGCCCTGGTACGAGACACCTAGGGCAGTGCGCCATCACTGCACCACAGAGGATGGCAGCCACACTTTCATTCGCTAGGCCCCTCTAGCCGGGAGACGCTCCGCGTACCCAGACCCTCAAGAGGGGGCGAGGCCGTGATCATCTCTTCCTCTCTGCCACATCATTTCTCCACAATTAGTTCGCGACCATGTTTCCCCCTTCAGTACCGGTATCTGTTCTAAGCTTCCTAAGGTCTCTCAATTACCCGAGTGCTTATTTCAGGCGCGTCTAGCGCAGCACTTCCTGACAGTCTTACCCTAACTGCTCACCTATGTCATTCTAATCTCCCAATTGTATCACATGTTCCAATCCGCAGTATCTTTTAAAGGTCTTTAATCGGCCCGACCACGGCCTATTCTTATCACTCGTCCAGTTCAACAAAAAAAACCTCTCCCCATACCTGACCCAGGTAGACAGCAGCGCTTCTAACCTTGGTCCGAGAGCCGACAACAGCTCTTTTGGGAGCTGTGCTTTCCTCAGCCCTCGCTGCTACAGAGTAACTTTTCCTGTCACCAAAACATCACTACCGACCCACTGTACCCAGCCTTTTTTTTTCCCTTTTTTTTTTTTTTGTGCGTGTGTGTGTGTGTTGTCATATTCGCAATACACTAAAAAAAAAGCATGACTGTACCAGAGTGTTTCGTCGGACTTTCACCGACTCATCAGGAGGTTGTGTGTGTGTTGTTCCTCGCTCCATCTTTTTGATTACCTGAACTACCGACTTCAACTTATTTGATTACAAAGCTACTGTGTAAACAGAGAGCTGCCTCTTTTGTGACTTGTGATGTTTCTTGACAATTGCTTCCCCAGCTGCTGTCCGATGCCTTAAATACTGATTGAATCTTCCCTCCCCTATTCTACTTCCACTACCATTGTGTTAATGGTACAAAGATCTAAGTTCACTGAATGACACAAAAGACAAACCTCTGTTTCGTGATGTGAATGCCACAAAAGACAAACCTCTATATCGTGATGGGAATGGCTCAAAAAACAAACCTCTATTTCGTGTTGGGACGCCGTTTACCAGAGACGTGATCTTTTGCTTTTTCAGTGCATCACGCACAAACTCTCTCTCTCTCTCTCTCTCTCTCTCTCACTCTCTCTCTCCCTCCATGCCTACCTCTCTACCTCCCTCCCTCCCTCCCTCCCTCTCTCTCTCCCACCCTCAAACACATACACAGACCTACTCTCCACACTTCCCCAAAACACATGCACAGACCTAATACTGATTATTGAATCATTATTCCTCTTTATGAAATGAACGACTTCATTACCTGCCATTCCAAGTATCGTTCGGCAACAAAGATGTGCCCTTCAGTAAATGTTGGTGCTGGAGCAGGAGCGCCTCCCTTCTTTCCTTGTTTCTTAGGTGGCTTCAGAATTGTCTTGCGCAGATCTACAATTGTGTCCTGAGGGGATTTTCAACAAGATTGGRAAAACCGCCACACCAACCACTTATCAGATGCCAGCAACGGCAACACATCTTGAGTTATCAGTTCATAGAGGTAAACTCAACAGGATATTTTGGCACCACCATTAGCCTGAGTAGATAGATACTCGAAGAGTGGGAGTCAATGATACACCAACATTGAAAAGTGTTACGCAGAGACACGGGAAGGTATTGAGCAAACGTTGCACAACATGCTAATAAAAACGGGCCTCGCTCCACTACTGTGTATCTGCTGCACCTCGTACTTGTCCCGAGCCATTCAAAATGTTGCACTTCTTTGAATATACCTGGTTAATAAAACGTCAAAATCCATGTAGAATGTTGAGCAGCGGAGCGAGGCCCTATCTTATCCAATCCAACCCATCTCCCATCCCTCACACAACTTCCCTTCGCCCATGAGTCTCTGCACAACCTCGGAACTACACCAAAATCACATTTACTATTTCCTTTCTCCCCTCTCGTGCACAAAGCACATACATTATCAAAACCTCAGCAAGGAATATCCCACGGCCTGCTTTCAAGCAGCCCAAAAGCACAGTCCAGTGAAATCCGACCACATGCAAAAAAACTTAAAAAAAGCCCAGAAAAAGAATACCTAGCGGACCTTTGATCATCATTACAGCAAGCAAAACACTTTCTCTCTGCCCCACAAGCTTGTGACAGCAACATAGTCCCCACGAAACACAACACCCAGTCACACACACACACACGCAAAACAAACATTAAAAAAATCATTATCACACAGACCTGTCATACCATCAATAAACATTTTTCATTGTGAGCACTGAGCAGTTCGTGGGCTTCACTGACATCTTTTTTTCACGTTGGTCTCTTCCTTTTCTTTTCTTTTTTCCAGAAGTGGGCCCACAAGGCCCAAAAAGTTTCGGCAGGCCGCGCCTCCTAGGAACCTCCGAAAAATGTGGTGTGTCGTATATTGATTTTTTTCAATTTTTTTCCTTTTTTCCCAACACTGAGAAAGGTAGTGGTCGTTTAAGGTTATTCCTTGTTTAAAGTCTTTTTTCGTTTCCTTTTTCTTTTGTTTTTTTTACTAACACAGTCCTTGCTTGCTAGAGGGGGTGATCCGAGAAGCCCCAACTAACAGGCGTCCCTGGCTGCTACTGTCTATTGACGGGGAGCCACATTAAAGTCACTTTTCTTGTTCTCCTTGTGGACAGTTTCAAACCTCTCATATGATATTCTAGCACTTCTCTGTGTTAGATGCATTACCCATAAAGTATGAGATATCAGCCACCTTATTTCGGTATACGATTATTTTTTCATTCCTTCGCAAAGCACTACTCATGTGCATGCTTTTAATTCGGAAAACGCGCAATCGTCACACACGAAACTTGACCAAAGTTGAAACAGCTGAAAGCGTACAGCGGAGAACCTGGTGAACCATTCGAGCCTCGGGATTCGCGAATCTGGACGCAAATAGCGGGGCCAGAAAGACCTATCCCTGTTTTCCCTTCAGATGGTTTTCGCCATGCAGGACATTTGCCATTGACACGATACAAGGAGTGCGACAACTACTATCACAGTATACGCCTGATGCGAGTTGTACTGGGTGTAGCACTTCCTTTCCTCCTTCGATAATTTCACTGCTAGTCATGGGAATTGAGATCTTTTCTGAGATGGCAAACCAAACTGAACCTCCATGAGTAGGAACTTGGAAGGGAACAAGTATGAGCTCACCCGAAGGTATGCATTCGCCTTCTGGAGGGTGTAATCTGGACGTGAAGCAGCTGGCCATCCCGCAACAATAGCGCAACCATCCTTTTTCAAAAGCTTGGACCACACATGCTCAGCGTAGTGAGGACAAATCTGCAATCACACAACAAGTGAACGATCGGGACAACATCCAGTTGGTATCCGTCAGTGAGTTGTTGGGGATTCGACCACCGGTGGGGATCAGAAGCTTGGTGCACCGACACCAAACAGATTCAACCACAGGTGGAGACAAAATTGACGTAGAACAGTGTGGAGATTCTTGCATTGCGCACACCTTCTATGAATCATGACAACGTCAAGCTGGAATCAATCCGTGAGGTGTGGCCAAGCACGACAACACTAGACAGATTCTACACACACACAAAAAAAGGAAGGAACTGAAAAGTCGGCAGATTGGTGCATTTGAATACGCAAGCTGCAGCACCCTTGCAGCCAGGGTAGCCTTGGCGCCTACCAGTCGGGCCGACCCGTCGGCGGTCGGCAGACTGCCTTGCAATTTGTTTTTTTTTCCTGATTACATGGTCGTGCGCGGCTTGAGGAGAGCAGCCCAAATCCGCAATAAATATTATGGGGGGTGGTGGGGGTTATAGGGGGGTTGTAGCAGGTTAAGGAGGGGTATGAGGGTGTTAGGGGGCAGTATGGGGGTGCTGATGGGGTTATTTGGGGTTCTGGAAACCCCCCCCCCCCACACACACACACAAAAACAAAAACATTGCAGGGTGCCGACCGACTCCCGACCGGTAGGTGCGGACCAGTCCGACGGTCGGCAGGTCGGCTACCGACCAATCCAGGGGCACCGGCAGTCGGCAACACATCTCTGCTTGGGTAATGACCCGCCGTAACACAGACTGAGAACACTGCTGATTTCTGAAGTTCTGCCGATGGAATGGATGCCTTGCTGAGATTCCCGCATTCTGCTGAGTTTTCTAAGTCTGTACGTGTGCGTGCCTGTCTGAGTGCTTGTCGGCATGAGTGTGTGTGTGACCTGCAAGGGTACTTGCTTGTTTGGGCAGCCCGTAGGGCCGGTACTTACCTGTGGCCGTGATATTGAGGGTTGCAGCAGCGAAAACACTCAAGTAGCGGAGCCAGGGGCCCGCGGCACTTAGAGCAGCGGAAAAACACTCAAAGTGGCAGGTAGGCCAGTACAGCACCCAGTAGCAGTAGATGTGCCGAGTACTCAAGGCCGAGCAGAAGAAGCCAAAGTTGGCATTTTTAGAGGCCCAGTAGCGGTAGGCTAGGTCTAGGCCGGTACCAGTCCATCCAGTCTGAGTCTAGAGCCTGTACGGGCAATATCAGAGTCTGAAATGATGTTTCCCTCCGAAAAGGAGGAGGTGCCGGTTGCTTGGGAGGCCGAGCGGCGTGGAAGTCACCGCCCAGGAAACAAGCAGGTCGCTATATCAAGAGGCCGAGGGAAGACCCCGGTCTCATTCTTCAGTGTGCAAGTTTGGCGACACGCTGCTGGAGCACTGGCTGGAGGAGCGCTGGCTACTACAGTGCTGCTGGGAGGAAGAAGCCCGGGAGCTTACACTACTGGCTGGAATCTTAAGCAACCAGTACATCCGATCCTCTTTTTGTAGACACTGACATGCCCTGCACGCCATGCTTTGCCGAAACGCCAGTGCGGTGCCTTTTTCTTCCCTTTTGGCTAGACTCCCAGCGATTCATTTTTGACTGCCGTAAGTTTTGGCGCGGAAGCTCTGAGCCTCTGAAATTTTCAGATTAGCTCGATTTCGATTCTCAAGTTCCCCCAGGCAGTATACTGGCAGTTTAAGTGGAGCCTCAACGTTCTGCAGGCTGCTTCCTCTTTTTTTTTTTTTTTGCAGCCTGCATTTGCCGCGTCGGAATAGACAACAACATTAAGGGCGCATTTGTGCCATTATCATATACCGCCAAGGACAGTGGGCACAACATCACAGTTCTGCCAGTGTGTATGTGGATATCTGCACTGCCTTGGCATGGGAGCACCGGGCATCTAGCTCAATGAGCGGCACATTCCAAGAAGGGCCATCGGTTATTTGAACTTGTTTCCAGTTTTCTCGAACACTTGAGCTATATCCCTCAACAAAAATCAGGTACCAAGATGAACAGGTTACCCACCGGAGCCAGAAGGAGTGTCTGCACTTCAATGAATCTTCGGATCAGGTCTTTATGCATTCCAGCTGCGCCACATGTAGACCTGTACTCGTCCCGGGCACTCTACAGCAGTCACGACGATGACACAAAACAACGCAAATGATCAACAGATGCATCAAAGGCAAGCCATAGAGACTGCCGTCGTCAGCCAAATAGAACACCCGGTCATTATAGCTGTATTTGCGACAACTAACAGACCAGATAAAGCAATAATGATGGGGCATTTTTTTCGGGTTAAGAATATTAAGATGGTAGGAATTCTACATGAGAGTCCTCTCTATGTGACAAAAACTCAGGGATGGGGTCTGTAATTCCATCGATCGACTACTGTGATTCTTCGGATATCCTTGATGATCACGGATCATGTCATGAGGAGGGAACGTGTGTTTAAAAGAACAAGTCACAGGCGCGCCGCAGCAGGCGGGGCGCTGACATGCGACCC